ATATAGACAATTATCATCTTTGCTCTAAGGCTGTTCAATCATACCAATCAATTGCAAATCCTGCACACTTTTACTTAAAACTCCTCTGTTTCCTGTCTGAAGCACATCTAAGAACTCATACTGCTCGCTTTGACCCTTAATTATCATCACAGGCATCGTTTACAGATTAAAGCAAGGTGGAACAATCAAGAAATCTTATTGATGCGCCATTTTCATGCTGAGATACTTAGCCTTGCTCCTGGGGTCAATCACCAGCAACTAATGAGTGTAGAGTATTATCATACATTCAGCACTCATTATTTTGTAGTCTACAAGTATATAGCTCTTGCCACAAATCTTAGTCTTCTGGGTTTCTTTTATATTTTTCCCATTAAAAGTGACTCTTGAAATATTATTACCCCCAAAAACCCCATATATGCTATTTGATTCAGGGGAGTATTCATCCTTCTTCATCTTAGTGACCACAAAATTATGATACATGCTCCCCGAAAACAAACCTTGCTTTTAAATCATATAGTACTTCATGTCTACGAATTTCCAAATACTTATTTTAGCAAGTTAGCAGTGACCGAAAACCACAAGACTATCAGATATAGCGCACCCAGCTGATATGTCCTGCTGATTTAGATCTTGCATTAGCTCAAACTTAGAATCTTCTGCAAAGGAGTAAACTAAGTCCTCGCATATAAGTCTCTCCTAATGCAGCATAATGAAGTTTACCTTCTTTGGGAAAGTCTTTATTCGCTTCAAAGTGAATTCGTTGCTTCTTGAGTCTTTTTCCATGCAAAGCAGTTCTGTGTGCTCCGTATTTGTTGTAGGATTAAGTGGAGCATGAAGTCCAAATATTTTGCTAGTTGATTCATCTATCAAGTTGTTCAGTGATCTCATTGATCGCTCATTGAATCTATGCACAATTTCTCCATTTGAATATATCTCTTTTGGCATATCTAACTAAGGAAACTTTGTTGAGTTTAAGACGTTTACAGCATCTATTTGCTAGGATATTGACAGCCTCATTAGCTCTAAGTTATTGATAGACTTTTGAGTGTATACTGATATGCCCTCCAGCGACACTGATTTTTTTTCTAGGTCGTAATTTTATAAATTTTAATGATCTTTGTATTTATTCTCTAGAGTTTAAATAATAGTCTTAGTGTTTCTTTCCATATCTGACATAAAATACTCAAGTCGTTTGACTGCATCAGTAAGCGAGTTCTTTAAGATCAAGATCTATTAAAGCACAGCTGTTGCCAGCTAAAGTAGTTATTTGCTAGGAGTTAGTCCAGGTTGATTCGGTGGTGTAGATGATTCAGATTTGACTTGAGAATTTGAATTTTCTTTCTTAATTTCAAAGACTGCTGTTGACTAGCTTTCACTTTTTATCATTCGACACTTAATACTAATTGTTTGATCTCATGAAATCTAAATCTTTACCACCACAGTTTCCACATCTTCCAAGTTCTATCTCTTTGCCAAAACGAATATTGAGTCCTAGTCAAAGCTAAAATACATAGCGCCAATAAACTAGAGGTCATTTGGGATATTATTAATTTTGCCAAGCAGACCACACTTCATAATATCTAAATAATCCAATCCACCACCCCTTTTCCTTTAGAGCATAATAGGCTTATTTTGAATGTCAAACTAGGGATGCACTAGTAAAAAATTAAAATTCTACTTCAATATTGATTGAGCCTACACAGTTCCAACTGGATGTCATATCTCTATAATTTCTATCTCTTTTTCTGTAAGTACGATGATTGATCTCTCGCCAACTAGCTGATAGTCTAAAATCTGTTTCTATTTGTGATAAGTTCTAACCTTATCTGACTTCTACAATTCATCTGGATTGAAAATAATCTAGTATATTAAATGTGCCCCTTGCTAGACAAAGATTGCTGGCTTGTCACAGTATCAGTTAAATTTAAGATTGTGGGCTTGAAGTGCTCTGCAGCTAGATTGCTTTTAGAAAGATATTTTTACTAAAATCTCGTATAGCCTGCCTGTCCATTTCCAAAGGCCTATTTTAGAGTGATTATTATATCCAATGCACATTATGTGATCATTCATGACACAGCCGCCAGTAATAATTTCTTCATCCAGGTGCTATATAGTCCTTTTGAACTTTAGATTAATCACATTCTAATTAAATATCAATCTATCCTTCTAGTGCAACATCATGAAGCTGAAACTTTCATTTTAAAATGAACTGACCAGATTACATACCATTTTATCCTGATCTATAGCTTGAAAATGTATCACATCTATTTACTTCTACTTAGTCATCAAAGCATAGATACAGTCAGATACTTGTGCTAATAGCTTATCATAAGTTTTATTGCTAAATTCCTCTGGTAACTGACAGATCTGAGCATCAGTTGTTAAATCTACATTGATTTTATATCTAAACGCTCTCATGTTAAGTATAGTCTCGAACCCTTGTGAAAATCAACCTAGCTGAGACTCCATTTAATCCAAGTCATTCTCGTGCCTTTTCGAAAAATCAATTAAAGTTTCAGTTATCTTATCCTTTTTAAGCGGCTCTTTCTTAATTTTATCATATTAAAATTGGAAAAATTTCTGAATACTCTAAACACCATTCTCTACCTCTTGAATGAAATCTTGCATTTTCAAGACTGACTTGTCTACAGCTGTTTTCAGCAGCTAGCAATCTTTCCTTATGTTATTTGTTCTCTAAATCATATTCTTGGGTAGAAAGTCGTTTTTATTGCTGATTAACTTGTCCATTATAGATTCCTAGGGTTTTCCATTAAGCCGAACAGGTGTAATTTGCTATGATAAAAGTCCAGTTTAAAATTCTGCTAATATCTGAGACTCTGAGATTTTGCAAAGCTATTATGCTAAACCGAATCTGTTGATTATCGTTTCGTTATCAGGTATAGGCTATTCTATCAGATCAACTATTAACTCAGGCTAATCAATCTGCTCGATCCTAGGCTTCTTTGATCCTCTTTGTCTTTGCATGAGCTGAATATGCTTATTGCCAAATAAAAATGAATATTAAAATTATAATAATCATTTAATTTTGGCGTTTGCCCTTGAACTTAGTATAAAATTCTTCTATCTTCATTTATTTCATTGGTGAGAGATTGATTCCTGTAAGAAAATAAATCAATAAGCCAAATATTTAAAATTCA